TTTACATCATTATTTGAAACTTTCTAAAGAGGTGCCATTTTTTCCTTTCTTTTCTTCTGACGTTAAAATCGATGAGACAACCTTTTTACTAATATTTTTTTCTGCCACTTGACTGGTATATACTGAATTTATTAAGATTCAAATGCTGTAGAGTAAGATTCTTTTACCAGAAGGGGACCTCACATATCAAAGAAGAATTGCTTTCCAATGATTCAGTTTTTTTCCTTTTTAATGCGTTGATTCAGATTCATATACTAGTTAAGATTCCCTTATCAGAAGAGGGACATCACATATCAAAGCAAAATTGCTTTACACATCCACACGCACACATCCTTTTATTAGTCGCATTACCACAAATTAACAAGGATATGGGAAGATTATTACTAGTATTACATAATATACTTATATGGACACTAGTGAACGGGAATGATGATTCCTTTTGTTTGTGGAGATTTTTGTAAGAATTACACCAAATAAAAATTAGGGAGAACGATACTTTTGTCTCTTTTTAAAGAATTTTAAACACTTTGATGAAGTCTCTTCTGGATTTAGGGTATCTGCTACCCCCTACTACCCCTACTGGCCCTTAATTTTTCCCAATTTTCTGAATAATTTTTATTTCTTTTGATCATTATGTTGTATATAAAATTAGTAACATTTTAATATTTTATAAATGAGCAAAAAAAGGGTATAGTTTTGAATTTTTTCATGATTTTTAAAAAAATCGTATCTAAATTTAAAAAAAAACAAAGAAACTATCTACACTTTTAGAGTATTTTTTTTCTTTGAAAAATCATAAAAAATTTTAAAACTACATTATTTTTTGCTCATAAAATATCAAAATATCACTCATTTTATACAAAATCTAATTATCAAAATAAACAAAAAATATTTAAGAAGTTCAGAAAAATTAAAGGGGCAGCAAAACCCCCTAAATCCGTGTCTTCTCTGAAGTAAAATTTGTAAATATAGTGCTTCATCTAATCCTTAATATAAGAGCTACTTATAGATTTAATTTAGTCCTAAATATAATCCCATAATTTATTTTGTCTCTCATATTTATCTATTTGTACGTGTTAAGAAGTTTCCATTAGGGTAGTTTCAATATACTTATTGACAAGGGTATTTTAGAGAAAATAATACTTATAGTACAAATAATTAACTTAACTAATTTTATTAATATTTACAAATTAGTTATTTAATTCTTATATTAATGACCGAAAGTAGTATACTACCTCTTATCCTTAATATAAGAGCTAGTTTTGAAGTTAGATTTGGTTCTAAATATAAAACCTCACAATCTACTTTGTAATCTCTTATTTTTCTTCAAAATATCCCTATTGATTGTAAGAGCTAGATTCCAATCAAAAAGTAATTCTAATTATCTAATGCATATGATTGAAAGAGGATAGTTTAGAGAAATCAACACATATGTGTGACAAATAACTAACTTAACTAATTTACTTAGTATCCTCAAATTAGTTATCTAACTTTTATATTAAAGATCAAAAGTAGTATTATAATAGTCAATCACTTAAAACGGTCATGTGTTCATTGAATCAAAGTGACAATAATTTCCTTATAAGGAATCAAAATGTCATTCTCCCTAGAAATTATAATTTGTGCTTTTGGAGGGAATTCCTCTTGAAAATAGTTGAAGGTTAGAAAATTATCGATCAAAAAATTGCATTGGAGAGTTGCCCACAGTTGAGATTAGGCAATACTTGGATGTGACTTAGAAGATAATATTATATAGTTGTATCAAACAAATTACTCCTCTGGTCCTTAATATATATAGGATCCAATTCTTGAATTGGTTTTGGTTCTAATATAAGAGCCCTTTTTCATATTTATCAATTTTCTCTAAATTACCCCTATGAATACTCCCTCAACTATAATCAAGTAAAAGAGGGAGATGGGGTATTAAGAAAGATGATTATGGTGTTTCAGGAAAAATGTGTCACTTTTCTTATACTTAACTAACTTACCTAACTTCCTTAATCTAATCAAATTATTTAAATGGGTCTTATATTAAGGACCGGAGGAGTATTATTATGATATTTACTTTAACCAGAATAATTTTGTTGAAAGGAAGCACAGGGACACTAATATTCCTTTTTGGTTTGATTACGGGAAGGCGAAGATTTTAATGCTTCAGTTTTGGCATGAAAGGCAAATGTGGGGAGGCTAAAAGTAGTAACAAATTGATTATTGTACCCCTTATGTAATTTGTTCTTCTCCCTATTTTTTAGCTAAAAAGAAAATAGTTATATATAGTTCATCCTATTATTGTTCTACGCTGAAAACTTTATTACATCAATCGTATATGTTATATATTATAAGTATTTATTAATTTTTTTTTCAAAAGAAAATTATTGATTTTATGGCGTTACCTCATTATGAAGGTGGCGTTACCTCATTATGAAGGTTAACAACTTAGATTTCTGAGTGATTTTGAGTTAATACTTTTTTAAATTAATAATAAAATGTCAAATTATTAATAAATAAATAAATTCAAAAATGCTAAATTTTACTCATAAAATTTAAATATGGACCACTTAAATTTCAATCGAAGGGTGAAAAAAGTAAAGGGCAAAAGCCAAGTTCAAGGTGCAATAGATCAAGAAAGAATGTCTCCATTTGGCTTTCTCTCCACTTCCCTCCCCTTACTATATCAACAACTGGATTAATATCCAATGGTTAAGATTTAATATATTATAAAAATATTATAATATTAAATAATAAAAATATGTATAAACAACTTTAACATATACATAAATAAATACTATGATAATGTTACAATCAATCAGCACAGGATAAAAATAAAAAAATTATAAAATATTTTAATATAAATTTATAGAAGTAATGTATGCATATTAATTTCTGACTACTTATATATATATTTTTGTTGTTTCATTATTATTATAATAATATTGTTAAAATATATTAAATCTCAACCATAGGATGTTAATCCAATAGTCAAAATAATAAATGAAGAGGAAGTGGAGAGGGAATTAAATGAAGACATTTCTCTCTAGCAGAATTAAATAACATAATATTTTAACAAGGCATATAATATTATGATTGGAATAAAAAATTTAAAAAGATGTTTCAATCCAAAATCATATTTTTAATTAAAAGCTTGTTTAATTTAACACTAAAAAAAATTGTAGGTTGGACATATTGAAAGCAATAAGATTAATTTATCGCTATCATCAAAAAGAAATTTTGGGATGGTGATAGATTCTACTTTACAAGTTCTTTTAACCAAACCTCATTTATCCATGTTTCCTGATACCAATCCACGCATGCGCACATGCATGCATGCATGCATGTATATGTTACAAAAATTTATATGCTTTGTCTAGAAATCCATTATTCTTGATCAAATCCACCAAAATAACGTAAGAGAGTAGCTTTATCTCGAAAGTTATAATCCTGGAATCCAAAGTATGTAAGTTCCCTTGCTGGTTACTTTTGGAGTAAATTTAGACTATGCAAATTAACATACTAATTTAAAAGAGGCAAGATGTACAGGATAAAAATAATCGCTCAATTATAAACTTATATTAACTCATGTATTCTTAATAAAAGAGTTATTTAAATAATTTGAATATATTAAGAAAGCTAACTAAATTAATAAATTATTTAAAAAAAATTAACGCAGTCCTTCTTGAAAATACCCGTATGTAAAATTAGATTATAAATAAATTTATAAATTAGATAAATTAATTTAAGAAAAATGATAATTATGGTGGACATAATGGATTGAGGTGGATCAAATCCAACCTCTCAACTAACTTTTATATTGAAAAATAATGAAAATAAAAAATAAAATAAAATAATAATTTTAAATCTAGTCCTTTCAAGTTTTAAAGGATTGAAATCTACTACCGCTGTTCTATACTCCCTCCGTCTTATTTTATAAGCAACAACTATCATCTTCATCTTGTCCCTAAATATAAGCAACATTTACAAGTTGTCTTAAATTTTTGTAGCGAATACCTTATTTTGCTCTCATTAATTTCTTATTTTAATACTCAATATATTTATTATCTCATTTCCCAAACCATCATATCTCTATCACACATTCTCTCTCTTCCATGATTCTCTTTATTATAATAACTTTTTATTCTCTCTCTTATACTCTTCCTTCCACAAATAAGGGTATTTTAGTGAAAGAACTTCTAATTTTTACATATTTATTATATTTAACTAATTTTAACTAATATTTTGATCTACATAATGAGTTCCAATGTTGCTTATAAGAAGGGATGGAGGGAGAGTATGGGAGCTTGTGAAAAGGGTTTGCTTTTGGTTCTGAATATAATATTATAGATCATTTTGTTTTCCACCTTTATAATTCCTTCTCCAAAGCATATCCAGGTTGATTATATACACTAGGAGAGTTTCCATCAAGATGAAAAGATGTTTTAAAAAAATTATTACATATTTATTATAAATAATTAAATTAAATATGATTCTTAATATCTACAAATCAATTATCTAACACTAAAAAATGGGAGTACATTGCTAGAAGCAGTAACGCCGTATCTTTTCTTGCAGCAGATCCAGAAACCGCGTCCCGTATTTCCGTAGTATAGAAGATCATAGCCCTTTCAACATTGCTTTTTAAATTGTTGACCCAAAAAAAAAAATTTGCTTTTTAAAATTAGTGGGTTTGCCCCACTTTTGCCTCCATTAATACACTCGCCATCTTCGCCCATAAATACCCTTCTTCGTTGCGTGTGTTCTCCACGCTACTCCCTCCTCTCTTCTCTTCTTCGACCATTATCTCACCACCCTTTTCTCTCTAATGGCTTCCAATCAAACTCCCACCACCACTATCCAAAGTAAATTCCCCCTTCCCAACAGCGACCTTGAGCAGCAGCAACCAGAGACGACAACCCTAGAAACACAAACAAAGGACGTCGTTCAAGAGCTGGACTACTCTAAGCGAGCACAGTGGCTGCGAGCCGCGGTTCTCGGAGCCAACGACGGATTGGTCTCGACGGCATCTCTTATGATGGGTGTCGGAGCAGTGAGGCAGGACATCAAGGCCATGATCCTCTCCGGTTTTGCCGGGTTAGTCGCCGGAGCTTGTAGCATGGCCATCGGCGAGTTTGTGTCAGTGTATTCACAGCTAGACATAGAGGTGGCTCAGATGAAGAGAGAAAAAGAAAGAAAAATCCGCAGGGAGATGGATGACTATGAAGAAGAAGAAGATGATGATGACGGTGATAAAGGCAATGAAGATGATGAGGAAGACAAGGAGACTTTGCCGAACCCTTTACAAGCCGGAGCAGCATCGGCGCTGGCTTTCTCGGTTGGCGCGATGGTGCCGTTGCTGGCAGCTTCATTTATAAGAGACTATAAGGTTAGGGTTGGGGCGGTGGTGGGTTCCGTGAGTGTGGCTTTGGTGGCGTTTGGGTGGTTAGGGGCAGTGTTGGGGAACGCTCCGACTTTGAAGTCAAGTGGAAGGGTCTTATTTGGAGGGTGGCTAGCCATGGCTATAACCTTTGGACTCACCAAGTTGATCGGATCAAGCGGGCTTTAGTTAATTAATCTTCATTAAATATGTTTAATTATTTTATTAAAAATATGTTATATATATATAATTAGTCATCAACTTGTACATATAAGCATATAAGAGATAGAAGTACGGTTCTGATATGTTGAAATATATATATATATATATATATGTGCTTGATTTGTATGCTTGTATATTATTTTGTCCAATTGAGTTTTAATGTTATATCAAGCTCCTCAGATCATAGATTTATAACATTTCTATATAAATATATATATACTCCTCCGGTCCTTAATATAAGATCCAATTGGTGAGTTGGTTTTGGTCCTAAATATAAGACCCATTTATCATATTTATCAATTATCTCTAAATTACCCCTATGGATACTCTTTCAACCATAATCAAGTAGAGGAGAAAGGTGGGGTATTAAGAAATATGATTATGGTATTTTAGGAAAAACGTGTCATATTTCTTATAATTAACTAACTTACCTAATTTTCTTAATCTAATCAAATTAATTAAATGGGTCTTATATTAAGGACCGGAGGAGTATATATATATATATGTGTGTGACATATGTTTTGTTCTCTTTATATTTTAGATGATGAGATGAGTGAATTAAGGATATTAAGTGGTTTGCTAGATGCATGGCCCAATCAGCAATCAGTTTAGTGGAGTTTCATCGAAAGTTATTAACATATCAAACATAATTTTGGGTACCATGAGTTCATTCCATTAAAGGTCCCCCCCCCCCCCATTTCCATTCCTCTCTTTTTTTTTTTTTAATGCACGAATATGTTTGAATTTTCCCCGGGGGGGGGGGGAAGGTTCATACCAAAACCTATGTTTTCCCTTAATCTTTTAAAATTTTTCTAATAATTTTATTAGAATAAACTTGAATTTTCAATTATTGCAGCTTTACTGTTCACATATCTACAAGGTATTTTTTAGTTATATATCTGGTACCTGATGATTATTTTTTTCGCTAAATTAAGGGTGCAAAATCTTATTTTTCAAGTGCATTAATTTTACCTCAGTCTTTTTAATGATGCAATTTTACTTCTGATTTTTTCCTTAGGGTGCAATTTTAGTCTTGATCCTTTTTTTTGGGGGTGCAATATCAGGGTAAAATTGCACCACTAAGAAAGTCATGGTATAAATTATACCTAAGAAATAAGACCAAAGTCAAAAATTGCACCTTTACCTTCATTTTTTTAAAACATTGTTTTTTTCCTAAACAAATGCATATTTTCCTATCAATAATGTTTTCAGCTTCATTTAAATTTTCATAACTACACTTAAAATAAAGATAGTATTATGTATGCAGATAAAATAATAAATAGCGTTATTTTTATTTAATAAAATGTTCAATAAAAGAATAATTGCCCTGCAGGGAAGACTTGTAGTTAGTAGCTAGAAATAAAGGGCAAAGTTTTTATTTATACTAGATGCTAATGAATTAACATGTTTGCTTTTTGAAATAACCAAAAATCCAAGTAAAAGGGGTGATCTAATTGGTTCTTGTTTTTTTAACATTTCTGATTCATTATATATAAGTTAATATATAAATGTAAATATAGATATAATTAAGCTGAACTTAATCTTTTGGACCTTAAAATTTTTACTCACTTAATAACCCACTCTCTAAATTTGATTCAGTATGACTCACGTGCAATTTAGTCTTTGATCTTTCTGTCATTTATAATTTTGTTCATATCATTCATGGCTCATCATGAGTGTCATCCTATGTAGTAGAAAATATTAATAATGGTGCTAAAAATTGTCTATATGGCTTCCAACTCATCAGCTGATGTGGAATTTACATAAAATTATTTTTGAAAAAAAGAGTAAGACGGAGAGCTTCCTTCAAGGTCAAAAAGTTATGAGACCCAATTGTCATTCTTCCCAAACGTCAATATTTGTTTTTTGGGTAACATCCTAAACGTCAATATTAATTACTCACTTTGCACCGGACCCTGCCCTAATTGCTTGGACTGCGTGACAATAAAATTCCCGAATGAACTGAGCCCAAAGCAAGCAAGCCCAAGATGGATCCCTATATTAAAAGTGCGATTTCAAATAATGACCGTGGGAAAGTGGGCTTTTGCTTTGGTGATTTGCCGAAGTATAATGAAACCATATAAACAACCCAACGAAAAAAAAAAAAATCAAATAGCAACTAAATCATTGTTCTGCGTAAGGCATTGTAAGATGAGATGAACAAACAGCCTTTGCACATAACCTTCAACTACCACTCAAGAAGCACAAGGCGAAAGAGTAACTGGACTTATCAGTACTTTTGACCCAGGTTAAGACCTTGTGACGTTAAGCAGGTGTTTGGCAGACTGATAAAAAGTGCTCTTGGGCCTCAAATCATGATTTGGCCCAAAAATCATCCAAACACCTTAAAAGGGTGTTTAGGAAACCCAATAAGCACTTTTCAGAAGCACTTTTCCGCAAATCGAGGCAAACTCCTTCACATAGTTACTTCGTATACTGTAAAAGTACTTCTAAAATCATGATTTTGATCTTACCTAAATACCCTCTTAATTTTTGACAAAACCTTGGTTTGACTCAAAACCATGATTTTGGCCTCCTAAATTATAGGTTCAGAGGAAGCTAAAACTTTTCACTTTTGGCGGGTGAAAATATGGTGGTTGGGGCAATAATTACAGAAAATGACATGAAAAGAAGCTAGAAATTGCAATATTTCAATTCAGACACTAAGAGGTCAAAATCCTAGGGGAGGAAGTTCTGCCCGAGCTAGTATTTTGCAAATATAGTTAAATGACAAAAATGCTCTTGTATCAAAATGTTTATTAACAAGTTGTGAATAAGCTAGGATGAGTATTAAACAGCAAATGACAAGGAATGTATTGACAATGACAAGATATTTATTAATAAGTTGTATACTGATAATGATAGGTGTTGAATAACTAATGACAAGAAATGTACTACCAATAAAAAGTTTGATAGCTTTTTTTTTTTTAAAAAAAAGCTAATATAAGAGCATTTTGGTTATCTGACTGCATTTACAAAATACCAAACATGCATTTCCTTGGGATTTTGACCTCTTAGATGTCTAAATTGGAATATTGCAATTTTCAACTTCTTTTTTTGTGTCATTTTTCCCAATAATTATTTCTTGTTAGAAGTTGGCCAACAGTATTTGGACAGAAATACCTATTATATTCAAAGGCTTTGCCTTTTCTCTTCAGAAAAAATATTATGAGATTTCATGATAAAAATCTTTAAGGTAAAATAATATTTTTTTATTGGAAAAAATCATTTTTTAATCTTATATTTTATAGATACATATACACATATCAATTATTAATTAATTACATTTTTTATATATTATTTGTTATGTTGGCAAAAAATATACCATCAACAAATTTATTACATTGAATAAAAATATTATAAAATCCATCTTTTATGTAATTATCATATTAACTTATGTCCTTTTTAGTAATTTGCACATATAAAAAGTGCTTTTGATAACAATATCCAAATACTATCATTTTATTAGAATCCTTTTTTCACAAAATTTATTCTCAAAAATAACTTTTTTCTCAGAAACTATTCTCTAAACTACGGTTTGGTTTTATCTAAACAGTCCCAGGAACATATATTTAATCAAGTAGTTATCCTACAAAATAATTATTATATAGTCTTGTTGTCATCAAAACATTAGATCTAAAAGGTCTTATATAATTTTTTTTCAACAAAAAAAGATCTTGTATAATTTTCATGGTGATTGGACTTGATTTGAGTTGCTAATAACTACTAGAATTTTTTAATCTACAACAAACTTTTTGTTATAATTGTGAAATAAGAACTTGAGGGCTTTCTATAGTCTTTGAAAATGAAAAGAAAAGGTTCAAACATATTTGAAATTGTGGAATTCTTTCGCTAGGCTTGAGACAACAGATGGTTAGAAATATAAGGGTTGTTCAATGTGCAGTAGTAAGCCAAAAGAAGAGAATGGCAAGAAGATCTGCGTTAGCAAGTTATGCACGAAGAAGCTAGTGTCTTTTGAGTGGAAGTAATGATATTGAATTTATGATTATTAATTTTTCTTATGGGAAGTATTGACATTAATTAATGTGATATATATGTCTCATATTTTCAGGATGAGGGTGCATTACACAGTGATGTATGAGACAGGAAAGGGAGTTGTGTTTTTTGACAAGTTGGTATTGCAATTCATTGGGAAAATTGCATCTGAGTTAGAGAAGGAGCTTTTTAAGGTTGTAAAGTTACTCGTGATCCCCTTTTTTTTGTGGGTTTAGTAATATCTGTGATCCTTTTTTTTCTATGATTTTAGTAAAATAAGTTAACAATTTGTCTATTTAATCAAAAAGATCTTCACCAATCCCTGAAGATCTGGACATTCTAGTTCGTACGATGCTATTGCTCAAATTGAAGCTCAACAAGTGTTACGTTGACTTTCCCTATTCTAGCATTTCTATTTTTGACTATATTCATATTCTGATGGAGGAATTTAACAAAGCAAGAATATGAAAAGCGTAAGTGCCATTTTTTTTTAAAATTTACTACTACAAGTTATAATAAAATACAATAATTCTTATTATTCCTTTTGATTTTGCAAAGGCTGGTAAGACAATTGAAGGAGTTGTATGAGGTATACTTAATTATCTATGTTTTCTTGAAAATGATCTATTACATGTGCTAGCCAATATCTAATTTGATATTAATAAATGCTTTAGGATTTTGAGTATGTGATGGCTGATAAAGAGTTGACTATGGGTAATAGTATCCATCATTCTATTCCAATAATGATTAAGGATAGTAGTGTCCTTGATTTTGTGCCATTTATGACTGAGGAGAGGCAAGGCAAAAGTGCTAGTTATTCTATTCCAAACATGCTTAAGGAAAGTCATGCCCCAGTTTCTTTGCCATTTAGTACTGAAGTGAGATCGGATGAGCATGTTGATCTAGATGAGATCCCTATTTCTCAAATCATGCCATCTGTCACATATAAAGGAAAGCAAAAAATGGTTGCTGAAAAAGAGTGGTAGACTCAAAACAAAGTCGTTGTAGTATAGTGGTGAGTGTTTCTGCTTGTCACGGGGGCAACCTAGGTTCAATCCCTAGCAACAGTGCCATTGATCTGACTGTGTTGTTACACTTTGGGATCAAATGCAAGAAATTTATAACTGGATCCAAGAGATGTAGTATAGTAGTGCAATTCAGGTCATATT